GGACAGAAGAAAAATATTGCATTTTTAGATAGTTTATACCGCATATGAATGACATTTTGACCTATAAAAGCCTTCACCTTTGAGACACAGCAACACATAAAGGCAGAGAGAAATAAGTTTGGAAAATAAATAATAATACAGTCATACTTTGGAAATATTGCAAGTTTGGTTCCAAACCACTGCAATAAAGAGAATATTGCAATAAAGTGAGTCACATAAATTTTTTGTGTTCCAGTCAATATAAAAGTTATATTTACATTATGCTATACAGTATTAAGTGTGCAATACCATTATATCTAAAAATGTGCTTACTTTAATTTAAAATACTTTGTTGCTAAAACCTGTTAACAATCATCTCAGCCCTAAGCAAGTCCTAATCCTTTTGCGGGTAGAGGGTCTGGCCTCCATGTCAATGGCTGCTGACTGATCAGCACGATGGTTGTTGAAGGTTGGGGTGGCTGTGGTAATTTCTTAAAATAAGACAGCAATGAAGTTTGCTGCATCAATTGACTATTCCTTTCACAAAAGACTTTTGTGTAGCATGAGATGCTGTTTGATAGCAACAGAACGTCTTTCAAAACTGTAGTCAATTCTCTCAAACCCTGCTGCTGCTTTTATCAACTAAGTTGATGTAATGTTCTAAATCCTTTGTTGTCATTTCAACAATGTTGACAGCATCATCACCAGGGCTAAGTTCTAACTATAGAAACTACTTTCTTTGCTTATCAAACTCCTCATCCATTGATCAAGAGATTGTGGCAATTCAGTCAATCTTTAGCCTCTAGTTCTAACTCTAATTCTCTTGCTACTTTCACCACATTTGCAGTTAATTCCTCCACTGGAACCCCACCAAGTCATTCATGAGGGTTGAAATCAACTTCCAAATTTCTGTTAAAGTTGATACTTTGACCTATGAATCAGAGATGTTCTAATTGGCATCTAGAGTAGTGAATCCTTTCCAGAAGGTTTTTATTCACTTTGCCCAAATCCATCAGAGGGATCACTGTAGCAGCTATAGGCTTACAAAATGTGTTTCTTAAACAATAAGACTTGAAAGTTTAAATTACTTATTTATCTATGGGCTGCAGAATAAATGTTATGTTCAGGCAGGAAAATAACATTAATCTCCTTGTACATCTCCATTAGCGTTCTTAAGGGGCCAGGTACATTGTCAATGAGTGGTAATATTTTGAAAGGAATCTTTCCTTTCTGAGCAGTAGATCTCAACAGTGGGTTTAAAATATTCAGTAAATCATGCTGCAAACAGATGTGCTGTCAACCAAGCTTTACCGTTCCATTTATAGAACACAGGGAAAGTAGACTTAGCATAATTCTGAAGGACCCTAGGATTTTTAGAATGGTAAATGAGCATTGCCTTCCACTTAAAATCACCAGCTGCATTAGCCTCTAACAAGAGTCAGCTTGTCCTTTGGAGCCAGTGTTAACTTTTCCTCTCTAGTGATGAAAGTCTTGGATGGCATCTTCTTCCCATAGAAGGCTGTTTTGTCTACACCAAAAAGCCATTGTTTAGTGAAGCCACCTGCATCAGTTATCGTAGATAGATCTTTTAGGTAACTTGCTGTAGCTTCTACATCAGGACTTTACCTTGCACTTTTATGTTATGAAGATGACTTATTTCCTAAACCTATGAACCAACCTCTGCTAGCTTCAAACTTTTCTTCTGCAGCTTTCTCACTTCTCTCAGCCTTCACAGAATTGAAAAGAGTAAGGCCCTTACTCTGGATTAGCCTTTAGCTTAATTAAATGCTATGGCTCATTTAGTCTTCCAGCTATACCAATCAAACTCTTTCTATATCAGCAATAATGCTGTTTAACTTTATTATTCATGTGCTCATTTGAGTAACACTTTTAATATTTTTTAAAATGTTTCCTTTGCATTCACAACTTGGCCAGCTGTGGTTCAAGAGTCCTAGCTTTCAGCTTACCTTGGCTTTTGTTGTGCCTTCCTCACTCAGCTTAACATTTCTAGCTTTTGATTTAAAGAGAGAAACATGCAAACTCTCCCTTTCACTTGAATACTTAGAGACCATTTTGACTTCATTTCAATATTGTTGTGTCTCAGGGAATAGGGAGGCCCACGGAGTTGGGGAGAGACAGAACAGTTAGTCAGAGGAGCAGTCAGAACATACACAACAGTTATTGATTAACTTTGCTGTCCTATATGGGCATGGTTCATGGAGCCCCAGAACAATTACATCAGTAACATCGATATCACCAATCAGATACAATATATATCACCATAACAGATACAATAATAATGAAAGAGTTAGAAATATTGTGAGAATTACCAAAACGCAACACAGTGAACACATGCTGTTGGAAAAAAATGTTGCTGATGGACTTGGCTCAATGCAGGGTTGCCAGAAACCTTCAATTTGTAAAGACACACAAAATCTGCAAAGTGCAATAAAGCAAAGTGCAATAAAATAAGGTATGCCTGTAATATAGTGTTTATTGAGTGTCATGTGCCAGGCTTTCTGCTACATCTTTTATAGGCATTATCTGTGATCTTACAACCATTCTGAATGTAGGTATTATTGTCCCCATGTTACAAATGGGAAAAATAAAACACTGAAGGAGTTTTGCCCATGATTACAGAGCTAATAAAGGGCACCAGCAGTTTGCAGGAAGGATTGGTGGAGCAAGATATTTAAAGGATCTACAATTTGCCCAATGTAATCTCTGTGAAATTATCAACACATTGTAGAATTTCTTCTTCTCTTGATATTTCCCATTTTTGCTGAAATGACATTTACCAATATTCATCTTATTTTTCATAAGATCCATAAATGCATTTTTGAATAATGAAGATCATTTAAGCTGGGCACAGTGACTCACACCTGTAATCCCAGCACTTTCAGAGGATTGCTTGAGGCCAGGAGTATGAGACCACACTAGGCAATATAGCGAGACCCCATTTATACAAAATAAAAGTAAAATTAACCAGGTGGTGGTAGTCCCAGCTACTTGGGAGGCTGAAGTGGGAGGATCACATGAGCCCAGGAGTTCAAGGCTGCAGTGAGCTATGATCATTCCACTGCACTCCAGCCTGGGTAACAGAGCAAGACCCTGTTTCTTTAAAAAACAAAACAAAACAAAACGACAGGATAATTTAGAATTAAATGTTTTCTGATTCTAGAGTTTTGGTTGAAGAGACTTTAGGATTTTAAAAAAACCCACAAAACTAAATTAAGTTTATAAATAGTTTGTGTCTGACCCAACAATAAACAAATACTAGCCTTTGACTCACATACTTGAGAAATGTGTGTGGCTCCCTGGCATGTGTCACTGAGTCTGAGTCTGTAGGCTGAGTGAGCAAATATTTAAGCATGAGTAAGAGCAATGATGGCCCCTTTGGCAGTCCTCAATGCACTAGCATGCACTAAAACCAAAATACACAAGGAGATTCAGCACCGTTAAGAAGAGAAATCCAAGTTGACTTGGCATGAAGCAGGAGGCTGATTGAGAGCTTTGAAACCTCTTTAAACTTGGACATTCCAAGAATCCTGGAAGAGAGCTATTGTGAAAAAAACTAGGAGACCTGCCAGGTAAGCCTGACTTGGGGTATACAATCAAATTCCTTTCTTTATGAGCCTCAAACTAAAGTTATAAACACCAACTATTTTAAAGACGAATGCCACATTCCTGGTAGAGGGAAAGATTTTCCCATAAAAAAATAAGAAAAGAGAACCACTATACCTAGAAGTTTTATGTATTTTATTTATTCCACATAATAACTTCCTGGAGTTGGAATAATTTCTCACTTACAAATGAGAAAACTATGGCCCAGAGAGTTGAATTAATTTATCCACAATCACACAACTCGTGATGGGGCTGGGATTTGAACAGTAACTTTTTGACTTCAGATACATCTTTCTCTGGTAGTCAGCTGTTTACTGTGGCTAAAGGAAGATTTGTAGATTTATCATCTAATCGAGAAAACTACAGTGTCACAGGATCCTGAGGGTGGAAGACATGTGATTTCAGCACCATGTCTTATTCATCCTTACATCCCTTACAGTGCCCAACATATCATAGATATTCAATGTGTTTGTAGAATGGTGAATGGATGGCTGTGTGGATGAATGGATGGAAGCATGGATGGATGGGTGGATGGATGGATGGACAGATGGATGGGTGGATGGATGCATGAGTGGGTGGGTGGATGGATAGATAAATTCCATTATCCCTGCGCTGTTCAAATTCACTATCTTTTCCACATTGAGGGCCTATTTTCCAGAAGACAGCAGGCAGTAGATAATACTGTGATATTGCACTTCCTTCCTCTAGGCAAACTCAGGCAGGAAAAGGAGTTTTTAACAATTTGTCACTAATTTTTTAGCCACTTTTCTGGGAAGTTAAATACATATTTAGGTTACTGCTGTTGTTTCATTCGCATGAGGTTAAGAAGCATCTCACCACCTTCATTTAAGGAGGTAAACACGCCTCATTTGCAGCTGCTTCAGTTCAATGAATGCAGGGGGTACTGTACCTCTTTATATAAATTGTTCCATCTCCCTTTCAGGTCTCACCCTTTTTGCAAAGTCCCATATCTCGCATTATTCCTGGGAAGCTAGTTCCATTTTCTCTTTAACTCAGTCTCACAGATTTAATTTTTCCCAAAGGCAACCCCAAGCTGCTGCCCAAACAATTCTGAAGGTATCCAAAGTGGACTTCTTATAAGTGTCACCACTGAGGCCAAAGGACTCTCCAGAGGGATTCAGTCAATATTTTTTTCCTAGACAACGGCATTACCTAACTCAAAGCAGGTAGGAGCATTAGGGAAAAGGAACAGGAACTGGGAATGTCATCTTCATGTTGGCCTCTGCTCCCTTGTGGTAAGCAGGGCAGGTGTTCTTGGCAACAGGGCTGGCATCTTTGCCAGCTGTCTCTGTCTGACCTCCACATCTTCCTTCTTTCTCCCAGAAGACTTTGTTTCCTTAGTGGGTATTTGTGTCTTGTCTCTGTTAACTTTAGAGAGAGATGAGGAGAGTTTTGGCCAAGGAAAGTCTTATTTTACATTCTTTTCTAGGAGTGAGTGTTTGGTTTCTGCTCTGGAGGTGCTTGAGAAGGGCAATAGATCTTATCTCCAAGTCTTATTTTCTAAAGAGGTTCCAAGCCATCCATACGCATGATGTGAGTAGGAATCTTTCTCAGATACTAAGTGGAAACTGATATTCACAAGCAACGTTCTAAGTTTGCCAAATGGCAAAGCCTGTGGGACAGGGGGCATGAGAACTAACCACACCTCTCTAAACAGCTCCAGCATCCCAGCAGCCATTTCCTGCTGACCGCTGAGCAGGAAGAGCACGTGACCCTGGCTGGAGCCGGCAAGAGGGTGGAGATGATCAGAAATCCTTTCACTGTCAAATTCAGAGAAGAAACATGCTGAGAAGAGGCATTTCCTATGCCAGGGCTACCTGTGCCTTGAGGAATACATGTAGGAGACACTATTTGAAAAGGTAAATCATTTATCAAATTCTAGGGGAAAAGTATTAGGATAGAGTGGCTTGTGGAAAACTGAGAGGGAAATTCACCTCAGAAAATGGGAGGTTTATTTAAAGCAGAAAATTACAATAGTATTATTTTAGAAAGAGTGTGTGTGTGTGTGTGTGTGTGTGTGTGTCTATACCTTCATTAATACTAAGTACTCTTCAGAACACTAAATATGATCTTCCCAACCTTAAATTCAGAAGGGAGCCATTTCCCAGTTTATTTCAAACAGCCCCAATTATCAGATAAATATTTTTTCTAAGTCGCCACTTTGGTGGAACAACCAAAGCAGAGATAGTGCTGGGCCCTCTAATCAACTGAACAGTGGCTTCAAAAAGATAGATCAAAGTTATAATCTCCTGCAACTGTGCATGTGACTTTCTTTGGAAATAGGATCTTGCAGGTGTGATGAAGGCAAGGATTTTAAGACGAGATCATCCTAAATGTGGATGGGTGAGTCCTACACCTGATGACTGGTGTGCTTCTAAGGGAAACAAAAGGGAAATGTAACACAGGGACACCTGGAAGGTCATGTGAAGGTGAAGGCTGACATTGGAGTTATGTTGCCACAAGCCAAGGAATGACAGGGTTGCTAGCAACCACAAGAACTGAGAAGCCAGCCATGGAACGAATTCTTCCTCAGCCTCCAGAAGGAACTCACCCTGCTGACACTTTGATTTCAGACTCTGGCCTCCAGAACTGTGAAAGAACAACTGTGTGCTGTTTTAAGCCATCCAGTTTGTGGTAATGTGTTACAACAATCCAAGGAAACTAATAGAAACCCCACGCCTTGGGTCTGAGCATAGAAGTAAATTGGAAATGACTTACATTGCCTTGACATACTGGAATAACCTGTTTTTCCAGACCTATGTGACAATTAAAACTGAATAATTTCTTTCATTCTTTTTTAAGGGACAGGGCCTCCTCGCTCTGTCGCCCAGGCTGGAGTGCTGTGGTGCTATGACAGCTCACTGCAGCCTTGAACTTCCAAGCTCGGGTGATCTTCCCATTTCACTCTCCCGAGTAGCTGGGACTGCAGGCGCACTGCCGTATCTGGCTAATTTTTAAATTTTTTGTAGAGACAGGGGTCTCCCTGTGTTGCCCAAACTGGTCTCAAACTTCTGGCCTCAAGCAATCCTCACTCCACAGCCTCCCAAAGTGCTAGGGGTACAGGGATGAACCATCTCAACTGGCCTCAAAAAGAATAATTTCTATATTAGACAGAAGACACATGTTTAAATTCTAGCAATCTTGCCTGAAATCTCTGCAAAATTAAAGTAAGGGGCAAGAGGGAAGGCCTAAACTTATACTCTTGGTGAATTCGGGATGCACCAGGGTTTTATTTGCAGGAAGGCCCTGAGAAGCCTCATGTGGACAGTGGTTGGATCCTGTGGAAGTCTCCAGGGCTAAGCCTCTAAGTAAGTGGAGACCAGGGACTGCTCCTTCATCTCCAGGACAATATACAGATGGAGAAGTGACTGGCACCAGGGAAGAAGGAGGGAGTAAAGGGAAACAGGCTTAGACTGAAAATGGGGACAGTGTTAGGGTACAGTCCAATTTTGCATCTTTCCACCCCATTTTATGGTCCTCCTTCTTGCATTGGGTAATTAGAGAGGGCATGACAATGGACCGAAACACAAGTCAAATGATTGATTCAGGCACCAGTGGAGAAGAGGCTGTAAATGCAAGGTTCTGTTGTGGACTGATGGACAAGTAGAAGAAGAGTTGTTGCCCCACTTGGGCAGGATGACTGATTGAGCAGAGCAAGAAGTAGCCACAATTCTGGGTAGAAGCAGCCATTTGTAACCTTGGCTCAGCAGTAAAGCACCATCCATGTCCAGGAGGGATATAAAAATATTGACCAGAAGAAAACAAGGGTAATTGCACTATCTTAAGCCTCATTAGAAAAACCCCACGGACCGTTTAACCATATGGAATGATTTGAGGGCAGCAATTGCATTAGCTAATGGAATCCAGAGCAAAAGTTCATTGCTTCAACTCATATTCCACCCTGCACACCTACACACACCCCACACTCCAGCCCCCACAACCGTACATTTAAAGGCTGGGGTGACCTGCAGAAGCTTGGTTCACTTTATATGGTACAGAGTTAAGCCTCAAGATATCTGCTCCTGTATAACTCTATGATTCTATAAAATAAATTGTGGTGCAATGTTCTATGATTGATGGGTGTTACAAGCCATCTGGCTCGTTAAATTAAAAACCTGGAAGTCAATGGAGACTCCCTGCCTCCTTTGTATCTGTCATTTCTTGGCCAGATCTTGTTCATTCTGCCATCTCAATTTCTTTTAAATCTATCCTTTCCTATCTTGCACTTCAGTTTGTCTTTCTCTTGCATCATCCTTACTCATCTCCTTGCTTTTTGTCCCACTCCCCCTAGGCCTATCTTCCCCAGGCCTGCCAGAGGGATCCTGCAAAAAAGCAAATCTGATCATATCCCAGCTCTCAGACCCCTCCACTCCATGTCCGTCAGCTCCAGGAGGTGCCTTCCAAGGCCTGAAGGTTGACAGGTTCCCCAGGATCCCCAGGGCCAGCCTACTCTGCAGTTTTACCTCCCATCCCCCACTTCTGCCAATTCTCAGCAGGTTTCTCCCCTGCTTCATCCCCTAAATGTTACCTTCCAGTGATATTATTGATCACCTTCTGAGCATGCCATGCCTGCCTGTGACTTTCCACACAGTTTCCCTGAGTCGGGAAATGTTCTTTTTGCTTGACAACCTGGCAAACTCTGGTTAGCTTTCCAACTCAGCTAGGACCAGAGCCTTCTCTTATCTTACCTTTACATCTACCCACCACACCCCTGAATTAATTTAACCTCTCCTCCCTCTCTACTACCTCTTTAAGTTAAACATAATCCTTTGCTGGTACCTGTTACACAAGTGTGAGAATTGAGTATTCTTATTGTTTAAAGGCCCACTTCCTTACTAGAGTGGAGTTTTGTTTTATGTTTTTTTGCTTTTTGTTTTTTGCTTTTTGTTTGTTTGTTTGTTTGTTTTGTTTTGTTTTGTTTTGAGATGGAGTCTCTCTCTGTTACCAGGCTGTAGTGCAGTGGCTCGATCTTGGCTCACTGAAACCTCCGCCTCCTGAGTTCAAGTGATTCTCCTGCCTCAGCCTCCTGAGTAGCTGGGACTACAGGCACCCGCCACCATGCCCAGCTAATTTTTGTATTTTTAATAGAGATGGGGTTTTACCATGTTGGCCAGGATGGTCTCAATCTCTTGACCTCATGATCCACCTGCCTCGGCCTCCCAAAGTGCTTGGATTACAGGAGTAGGCCACCGTGCCCGACTTAGAGTTGAGTTTTTTAAGAGCAGAGCTGCACAGTGTGTACACAATAAATGATTGCTAAATAAAATATGTTAAAGAATCAGCCGACTAAATCTTTGATCCTAATTATAAATTCCTGTTAATCAAGGAATTTTTACATTTTCAAGGGACTTCAGGCTCCATCTAGTCCTGTCTCTTAGCCAATTGTATTAAAATATCAGGATTTGGGGCCTGGGCATCAGTGTTGTTTTTTTTTTAAAGCTCTCTAGCTAGACAAAAGGACTTCAAAACTATTAGCAGCCAAAGTTGAAATGCTCTGATCATGTCTACTCACCTGTGGGTGGGCAGTGACTTCCTATACCCATGCCTAGAAGATAGACATCTTGTTCTTCTTATTTTTTGGAATTTCTGGAGATGCAATTCCTGAATCTCCCTTGCCTTATAAAGTAATTTTCTGCTTTAAAATAAATAAACAAAATCAAGTGTCAAAAAATCCTTGTAGCTCTCCTAATTCACTTTTTCAAACAAAAGATTGTTTTATAATTCTTACATGGCTTTGAAGTCCTTCTCTGGCCATCTGATCTTTTGTCCCCTGTTTGGCATGACATTCCTTTAATTTGCTATGTCTTTGAGAAATAGTTTTAGCATTACTGTTTCCTAAGAAGTTTGGGGTCATAACAGAATGAGCTGACCCGCAGATAGTTTCTTTTTAGCCTAGAGATTCTCATCCAAGCCTGATAGCAAGTAGTAATACTCAATTTCTTTTTTCTTCTCCAGCACTTTTCTATGGTCTTGGGCAAATCATTTTTTTCAGGGAAGACCCCAGCTATCAAACGTTTGTTTGGTTACAAATATTTCTTAGCTCCCAAGCAAAAGCAGAGCCTTTAACATGGAGCCTTTAACACCCTGGGATGCAAAACTCTGAGATGTTTGCTGGGCATTCTTCAGTTTTGGAAAGTGAAGGAGGGCATCTGAGGGGACCATCTGGAAGCAACAATGATTATGAGATCACTTGGGAGGCTTTTGAATCTGAAAACCTGCACGTAAATGCCACGTTCTGTCATTAATTTAAGAAATCACCACCTCTTTTCTAAAACTTTAAAATTTTATGCGCCAAACAGAACTCGCCTGCCCTTTCAAATCATGCCCGTGACAGCAGAAGTGCAGAAGTCGGCTCTGACTTCTCATTTTGCCCATTCTCCAAGGGTCTGTTTGCATTGGTCCCTGCCCATTTCTCCCCTGCTGCTCCCTCCTTCATCCACAGCCAGGTCTCACCCAGTGAAGAAATCCACTTAGCTAGCTCTCCTTCTTGTATTGGCTTTCTCATGCTGCTGCAACAAATTACCAGAATTTGGTGGCTGTAAACAACACAGATACATTTCTAGGGGTCAGAAATCTGAAATGGCTCTTAGAGGACTAAAATCAAGGTGTCAGCTGAGCTTCATTCCGTCTGGAAAACCCAGCACAGAATCTGTCTTTCGTTTGTTTGTTGTGTCTCTTCCAGTTTCCAGAGGCTGCAGGCATTCTTTGGCTCATGCCTCTCTTTCCATCTTCAAAGCACATCATTGCAACCTCTGCTTCCCTCATTCCAACGTCTGCTTCCATCACTCCAACCTCTACTTCCATCATTCCAACCTCTGCTTCCCTCATTCCAACCTCTGCTTCCATCATTTCAACCTCTGCTTCCCTCGTTCCAACCTCTGCTTCCATCATTCCAACCTCTGCTTCCATCGTTCCAACCTCTGCTTCCATCGTTCCAGCCTCTGCTTCCATCGTTCCAACCTCTGCTTCCATCATTCCAACCTCTGCTTTCCTCACTCCAACCTTTGCTTCCATCATTCCAACCTCTGCTTCCCTCATTCCGACCTCTGCTTCCCTCGTTCCAACCTCTGCTTCCACATTCCAACCTCTGCTTCCCTCATTCCAACCTCTGCTTCCATCATTCCAACTTGTGCTTCCATCATTCCAACTTCTGTTTCCCTCATTCCAGCTGCTGCCTCCCTCATTCCAACTTTGCTTCCATCATTCCAACTTCCGCTTCCCTCATTTCAGCCTCTGTTTCTATCATTCCAATCTCTGCTTCCATCATTCCAACCTCTGTTTCTATCATTCCAATCTCTGCTTCCATCATTCCAACCTCTGTTTCTATCATTCCAACTTCTGCTTCCATCATTCCAACCTCCGCTTCCATCATTCCAATGTCTGCTTCCATAATTCCAACCTCTGTTTCCATTGTTTCATCTCATTCTTCTGTTTTTGACTCTCCTGCCTCCCTCTTATGAGGCCCCTTGTGATTACACTGGGCATATTCAAATAACCCAGGATAATCTTCTCATCTCGAGATTCTTAATCACATCAGTAAAGTCCCTTTTTGCCATGTAAGTCTACGTATTCACAGGTTTCAGGGATTACAATATGAATCTTTGGTGGGGGTTGGGAAGAATTGCATAATTCTGTTTACCATTCGTCCTGAAGCTTTCTAGCTAAGCACAATTTTAATCACTTGCTCCTTTTACTGCTAAAAGGTATTGAGTTGAATATGTCCCCCACCATGTCCACCCAGGAACTCAGAATGTGCCTTTTTTTGGAAATAAAAGATAGACATCATATTCTTCTTCCTATTTCTTAAAATCTCTGGAGATGCAATTCCTGAACCTCCCCTACCTTATAATTTTCTGCTTTAAAATGAATAAATAAAATTTTATCAAAAGAAACTTGTCGCTGTCATAATTCATTTTTCAAATAAAGGATTCATTTTATAATTTTAACATAGTTTCTTGCAGGTATATTAGATAAAGATAAGGTCATCCTGGATTTAGGTAGGCCCTAAATCCAATGTGACTGATGTCATTATCAGAAGGGGAGATGTACACACAGACAGACACACAGGAAAGAAGGCTTTGAGACAGTGGAGGTAGATTCCAGTGATGCAGCTACAAGCCCAGGAATACTAAGGGATTGCCGGCAACTAACAGAAGCTAGAAAAAGGCAAGGAATGATTATTTTCTAAAGGCCTCAGAGGAAGCATGGTCCTACCAACACCTTGATTTTGGACTTCTAGCTTCTGGCACTGTGGGAGAACACATTTTTGTTTCTCTTAAGTCCCCAGTTTGTGTTATTTTGTTATGGCAGCCCTAGAAAACTAATACAGTTGTGTTGGAAAAAGAGGCACCCACTTTTGTTCATAGTCCATTTTTTTCACGACAGTTTGACATACCAGCTGACAACCCGTAAGAGCTTTCTTTGTTCCATTTGTAATATACAAAGATCTTTAGAAATTATCCATCCTGTCCCTGGGGCTTTTCCAGTTGAAACCTCAGACTGTCTTCTAGCATAGAAGAAATCAAGTGTTCTAGATCAGAGATTGGAAAAGTTTCTGTAAGGAGACAGATAGTAGATATTTCAGGCTTTGCAGACCAAGAGGCAAAATGTTATATAACTACTTATAAAACAAGAAAGAAAACACATTTTCATGCATTTTTTTACTGACAAAATTTAAAATATAAAAATAATTGAGTATAATTTTTTTGTAGTACAGGTCTAATAATGACTGGAATTCTTTTGGGGGTAATAACATTTCACTGCATTGGGATTCAAATGTGATTGGCCCATTATCAATGCTGATTGCTAATGTTCATTTGTTAATGCTGATCTATACTGAGATTGTATCTCATTGAGAATTGCAATTCCATGGGTGAATGAGTATTTCATCTTTGAAAATGTCTTTTTACACAGATAAGATTTGCTAAATACTAATATTGGTTCATGAGCATATGATTTTAATTGAGCATATTGATCACTTGAAAGGCATTTGCAGGGTTCTATTACATGTTTCCCTTGATATTTTTAGCATATCATTACATTGCAAATTAATAGCTTCCAGTTGAAGGTTCGATGGAAGCCCTTCAATTGTTCAGTTAAATGGATTTTGAAATATGGAAATTTGTTTTGCCCTGGCTTTGAGTCCAAAAGATGCTACTGAGACTGCAGTTAGAACTCAGAAAATATATCCACTGCAAATTTGCAAGGAAAATTGCATGGAGATCTCAATTCTTGTTTTATCTTTTAGTAACACTGGAAGTGTATAGGGCAGGTTGACATTCAAGTAATGTTAGTTGTTGAAATGACTTTACTGCAGTATAAATTTCTTATGTGAGCACTGCTTGGCCTTGTAATTTTAGGTGAAATTCATTAAGAAACACTATGAAGTATGCAGCAAAAACTAATTTCTAAAGCCACTTAGTGTTCCTTACTAGTGGCTGAAGACCATTCTCATTTTAAACAATTTCAACTTCAGCCCTGAGCTCAAAAAAATCACAATAAAACGTTACCACTGCTGAATCACTGAATTTCTGTGTGGTATATAGCAAGTCATGATATTCAGCTTCTCTTTCTAACAAAAATTCATGGAACTGATTGTGGTTATGTCTATGAGAGTGAATGAGTCCACCATTGAAACTTGGATCAATGACAGATGCCAGATAAAAATATTTTCAGCAAAGAACCCCCTAATAAATAACACAATAAATAACTGTAGATTTTAAATGCCTTACCTTTTCTCAAGCTTTGTAAATTTATCCAACTAAGCATTTTGCAGCTTCATATATATTTTTACTATCATCAAGTGTGACATATCGTAGTAGATTCTGTCTCAGATTGTACTGGATTAGTATTTTCTCAAACTCTTTGAAAATCTCTTACAATTTCACACATATTTTTACTGCCATCAGGTTTGATATATCTTAGCAGATTCTACCGCAGGTTGTACTAAATTAGTGTTTTCTCAAATTCTTTCAAAATATTCTCACCTCTAGTTGCTCCATGCAGACTATTTATAGAAGCTAATTCTTCAGTCACTTCCAAATTGGCATTGACTCCTTGAATAAATAACAACTGAGCAGTATCAGTAATATCGTGGGCTCATCAGGAACCAAGAAAAACCACTCCAAATTATTTGTCTGGTTTTTTGTTTTGTTTTGTTTTGTTTTTTTAATTGACTATTGATGTCACTTCCAATGTCCTCAACTCTCTGAGCAATTGTTCTTACTGGAAGGCTAAAGGTCTCAAACAAGTTTGTTTTCCCTGGACATACTTCTTTGGCTGTTGTAATCAATCTCAATTTAGTTAACTCACCATGAGTAAACAGCTTTTCTTGCTTGGCTAACAAATAAGCCACTCAGAAACTTTCTTTGGTTGCAAGCTCATTTTCATTTTTCATTCTTGTGAAGAAATTCTGCTCTGATGAAAAATTCTATTTTAAAGTTTTCTAATCATTGCTTTCCTGTAAGCTAAGAATGTCATGATGATTGTTCAGTCTGGTTATGTTGACATCTATTATATTCTTTTAGCATAACGATAGTGTCATTGCATAGAAAGCAAAATGTTTTGCCAAGTAATTCTATTATATAGCAAATTAATCCACACTCCACTGTGTCTTAAAAGCTTGATATTCAAAGTCTACTTTTTCTTTCTTGTTATCAATTGATGGGTATTTACTGTTAATAATTAATAAGAAATAAATTTAAAAGGGGGAAGAGAGGAAGGAAGGAAGGAAGGAAGGAAGGAAGGAAGGAAGGAAGGAAGGAAGGAAGGAAAGAAGGAAGAAAGGAAGGGGGAGGGGGAGGGAGGGGAAGGGGAGGGGGAAGGGAAGGGGAGGGAGGGGGAAGGGGGAGGAGAGAAACAAAAACAAAGAAAGAGGCCAGGCACAGTGGCTCATGCCTGTAATCCCAACACTTTGGGAAGCTGAGGCAGGCGGATCACCCGAGGTCAGGAGTTCTTCAAGACCAGCCTGGCCAGTATGGTGAAACCCTGTCTCTACTAAAAGTACAAAAATTAGCTGGGCGTGGTGACATGCACCTGTAAGCCCAGCTACTCGGGAGGCTATGGCAGGAGAATTGCTTGAACCCAGAAGGTGTAGGTTTCAATGAGCCTAGATCATGCCACTGCACTGCAGCCTGGGTAACACAGCAAGACTCTGTCAAAAGAAAAAGAAAGAAAGAAAGAGAGAGAGAAAGAAAGAAAAGAGAAAATAAAAGAAAGAAAGAGAAGGAGGGAGGGAGGAATGCCACTGTATGATGCTTGAAATGCAGTTGAATTTTAACTTTCACTGCAATTTATAGCATTCCAAGAAGTAGTGCAAAGTGATGAGCACCATATACTGTCTCTGCCACAGCTACTCAACTTTGCCATTATAGTGTGAAAGCACATAGACAATAGGGAAACAAATGAGCATGACTGAGCTCCAATAAATTTTATTTGTGGACCGTGAAATTTGAATCTCATAACTTTCATGTGTCATGAAATACTCTTATTTATATTTTCCCTAATCTTTTATAAATATAAAAATCATTTTTATTCTATGGGCATATAAAAACAGGTGGTCTGCCAGTTGTGGCTGGTGGGCTACAGTTTGCTGACTCCTATATAGATCATTAGGTCATTTCCAAAGTTCATCCAGCTCTGTGAGCCTAAGATGCCCTTGAGACAGTAATCATCCTAGTTACTTCCTTTATTCAGGGCACCTGTCCACTTCTGTCTACCTGAATATTTCAAAGAAAGGGATATGCAATTTGCCTTACAACTTAACTTTTTTTAACCATTTCATCTACTTTTATTTACTTTTGCCAAATTTATTCTTAGTTTGCTTTCTAATTGTTTACTTATTTTAAGCAACAAAAAGCACAAAGGTGATAGCCATAGTGTTACATCATTTGGGATCCATACGAAGGAAGTGTCTTTTCTGATCTATTCATGCCCTAAAAATATACATTCCATGACAGTCCCAGAGGCTTCTCAATCCCACAAATGACTTAAGAACCAAAGTTCAAAGACAGACTAGTAGTTGTCAGGGATTGCAGACAGAGAGAGAAATTAACTACAAAGAAACAGCACAAGGGAATTTGGTGGTGTGAGGATAGCAGAACTGCCTATGTCTTGTTAGTGATGATGGCTACAAGATTCTATGCATTTGTCAAAACTCACAAAACTTTACACCAAAAGAGTGAAGTTTACCATATGTAAATCTTAAAAGTGAGTAATAAAGAAACAAAATGTAGCAGGGACATTGATTTGAGCTCCAACATGTTAAGAACTTGGAAGTCATCTAGGACATCAAAAGGAGAAAATTAATAGAGAAAATCCATAAATCCAAAAGATGGTTCTTTGAAAACATCAATCAAATTGAAGAACTTCTAGCCAGGCTAACCAAGAAAAAAGAGGCATAAATTGCTAGTATCACAAATGAAATAAAAATAATCACTACTAATTCCATGAACATTAAAAGGATAACAATAAAAGAATGCTATGAACAATTCCATGGCCACAAATTTAAGAGAGATATTGGTCTATAGTTTCTCTTGCTTATAATGTCTTTATTTGGTTTTGTTATTAGGGTAGTGTTGGCTAATTCTATGCTAACTTAAATGAAATGGACCAAATCTTTAAAACACATAAACTACTAAAATTCACACAAAGAGAAGTAGATAATTTGGGTAGTCCTATCTTTTTAAATAAATTTAATCAAGAAGTAATAATCTTTAAAAAAAAAAAAAAAAAAAAGCACCAGGCCCAGATGGTTTCACTGGTTGAGTTTATCAAACATTTAAGTAAAAATGATACTAGTTCTCTACAATCTCTTCCTGAAAACAAAAGCAGAGGGAACACTTCCAACTCATTTTATAAAGCCAACACTACCCTAATAACAAAACCAAATAAAAACATTATAAGCAAGAGAAACTACAGACCAATATCTCTCTTGCACATAGATGCAAAATTTCTCAATAAAATATTAGTAAGTTAAATCTAACTATGTATAAAAAGAATTATACAACATGATCAAGTGAGACTTCTTCCAGGTATGCAAGTGTATTAGTCAGGATTCTCTAGAGGGACAGAACTAATGGGATATATATATACACATATATATATATATACACACACACACACACATATATATATATATAAAGGGGAGTTCATTAAGTATTAACTCACATGATCACAAGGTCCTGCAATAGGCCATCTACAAGCTGAGGAGCAAGGAAAGTCAGTCTGAGTCCCATAACTGAAGAACTTGAAGTCCACTGTTCAAGAGCAGGAAGCATCCAGCATGGGAGAAAGATGTAGGCTGGGAGGCTAGGCCAGTCTAGTCTTTTCAAATTTTTCTGACTGCTTTATATTCCAGTCATGCTGGCAGCTGATTAGATGGTACCCACCCAGATTAAGGGTGGGTTTGCCTTTCCCAGCCCATTGACTCAAAAGTTAATCTCCTTTGGCAACATCCTCACAGACACACCCAGGATCAACACTTTGCATCCTTCAATCCAGTTAAATTGACACTCAGTATTAACCATCACAGCAATCTACTTTAACATTTCAGAACCAGTTAATGTAATCTATTCCATCAGGCTAAAGAAGGAAAATCATATGGTCACACCCACAGATGCAGAAAAGCATTTGGCAAAATCCAATACTTTTGCATAATTTAAAAAGAGAACAAAAACAAAACTCTCAGCAAACTAGGAATAGGGGGGATCTTCCTCAACTTGATAAAGAGCATGTAAGACATACCAATAAAAGTTATATTTAATGGTAAGAAATGAAACACTTTCTGAAATTATCCTATAGCCTGTTATAAAGAAGCCAGGTAGGTGAAAGACATCTAAAAAGATCACTTTCCTTGTAATCTCTTTAGACGTTTACAAACCAAAACAAAAAAACACGTGTTGGTTCTTCCTCTTTCTGTATTGTCACTTCTTAGAATGGGATCAATAGCCCTCAAATATATCATTCCCTTCCCTCACCCATCAAACCATTTATTTAGGCTCTCTAAGCAAAGATCCATCTTTGAACTATCTTTTTACCTACCTGTGGTGTAACACACTCACTCCTCCCAAACTTTCAACTTTCAAAGTCCACACCTTCCAAGGTACCCTTCTTAACAACTTCCCCATTTAAGTTATATTCACTCCTAAGATACAGATTCTATGCCTTTCCTACATAAAAACATGATCAGCTTGATTTTGAATAAAAACTATTCATAAATAGGATACATGTTTCTTCTTCCCATAGCACAGCACTTTAGAGCCTATACTAATTGATAGAGATGATAACAAATCAGGACACAAAGAACAATTCTGGTCTGTTGAAGCTTTTCTAGCTCAGCTCTGACACAGTCAACAGCTTGTGATTCTATCTTAAACTAGGTTCAAGAAAATGCAGCCAGTCAGATATTTAGAGTATAAAACTTTCAGACACTGAAGGGTACCTTATGTTGTCAGAGGGAAGTCATGTGCCATCTCAGAGTTTACTTCTTCATTATTGTTAGAGGCATTCAAACCAGTGACTCCATCTTAAATAGCGACTGGGTAAAATAAGGCTGAGACCTAATGGGCTACATTCCCAGGTGGTTAAGGCATTCTTAGTCACAGGATAACATAGGAGGTTGGCACAAGATACACATCACCAAGACCTTGCTGATAAAGTAAAGAAGCTGGCCAAATCCCACCAAAACCAAGATGGTGACAAAAGTGACCTCTAGTCATCTTCACTTCACTCATTATATGCTAATTATATAATGTATTAGCATGCTAAAAGACACTCCCACCAGTGCCATTGACAGTTTACACATGCCATGTCAATGTCAGGAAGTTACCCTATATGGTCTAAAAAGGGGAGGAACCCTCAGTCCTGAGAATTGCCCACCCCTTTCCTGGAAAACTCATGAATAATCCACCCCTTATTTAGCATATAATCAAGAACTAATAATAAGTATAAGCAGCCAAGCAGCCCATGCCTCTGCTCTACCTGTGAAGAAGCCATTCTTTTATTCCTTTACTTTCTTAATAAACTTGTTTTCACTTTACTCTATGGGTTAGCTTTGAATTCCTTGTTGTACAAGACCCAAGAACCCTCTCTGGGGATCTGGATTCAGACCACTTTCAGGTAACATTACACATAGTTAAAATATTACCTGCAAATAGCATGTCTGTCCTTATATTCTGTTGATTTTTTGGTTCTATAGGGTAAAATCCAGAGTTGCATAAATAATGGGTGATGCCACAGATCTTCATTGTCAGTCAATTGCTTAGATGTGAGTTTCAAAACCATGGTTGTCTGGACAGCTAAAACTGGCTGAATGCAGGGAGTTTCCAATTTCCACAAATGGGAATTGATGGACAGAGTCAGCTAAGGAAACCAGCCTGAAAGCATGATGTTTCTGGAACCTCAAAGATAAGCCATCAGCAAGCTGAAGAGTCACTGGGAACAGGTTATGCTTTAAATGGTTCATATATAGGTGCTTCTTAAATATAGCTTCAATATAGACTCCACCTAATAACAAATGAATGGCACAGGGAGTAAAACTGAATCACAGCAATGACAGCAATCTTTCCAGTAAAGAAGATACCAGGGAGATTATATACGCTGTACAAGCTGTACACTTGACAACTCTAGGGATTGCCATTTACATTGTATTCCATGTAAATCATGCCTCCTAGAGATGTGCAGTGCACAACTTGTGCAAACATAAGCAGAAAACCCCAAAAGATTCTGTCATTAGTATGTAATAAAAAAGCATGTGATAGAGCACAAATTTTATGTCTGAAGTTATAAGCATTATGAATTGTATTGATTTAAAAGAAAAAGACTGATAAATTGGATTTTGTAAAATTAAAAGTTTTGCTTTATGAAGGACACCTGTATGAGAACAAAAAGACAAGCTACAGACTGGGAGAAAATATTTGCAAATCACATATCCAGCAAAGATCTTTTATCCAGAATATTATATACACAAGTGCATGAAAAGAAGCTCAGCAGTATTAACATTTAGGGAAATAAGGTGCCCTTATATATGTAAAAGAATGGCACATATATATATATATATATATATATATATATATATATATATATTTTTTTTTTTTTTTTGGAAGACAAAACCAAATACTGGCAAGGATGTTGAGCAACTGTAACTCTCATGCACTGCTGGTGGGATGCAAAATGGTACACCCACCGTGGAAAAACAGTTTGGCAGTTTCTAATAAAGTCAAACATGTTTATCATATGACCTCCCTCCAGGGTATTTACTCTAGAGAAGTGGAAACATGTTCACACAAAAACCCGTACACAGATGTTTACAGCAGCTCTATTCATAATTGACTAAAACTGGAAATAACACAAATGTCATTCAACAAGTGAATGGTTAAACAAACTCTGGAATATCCATACGATGAAATTTCACTCAGGAAAAAAAAAAAAGGGACTACTGACATGTGAATAATATGAATGTGTCTCAAGAACTATCGATATACGAATAATATGAATGCCTTTGTTTTGTATTTTTAGTAGAGATGGGGTTTCACTATGTTGGCCAGGATGGTCTCAATCTCTTGACCTCATGATCTGCCCGCCTTGGCCTCCCAAGTGCTGGGATTACAGGTGTGAGCCACTGCGCCTGACCAGAAATAGAGTTTATTCTTATACCCAGCCTATTTTATTCATTTGTGGTTCATTTCTCTGTCACCTGACCCCTAAGCCTACTGCTTCTGGCAGGTGCTAAACTAGTCCTAGTTGAATTGAATCTTTTGGCTGTTTCAACTCAGTAGCTCTTTTGACCTGTTGCCTCTGTCACGTGAATGTGGAGAAAAAGTGGGCAAAAGAGTTAACATGCTAGACTTGGCACAACAATCCTAATGTCTGGAAAAGAGCAACAACATCCCAGAGATAGCATCTATTAAACAATTAATTGGCCATTTAAGAAACATGAGCCAGAAAATAGAAGAAAGAGAATTTCCCAATGGGCTACTAAAAAAAATGCACTGGGGTTAAAAATTGAAAGAAAAATAAAACAAAAGTATTTTATCCCAATGTTATTGCAGGTGCTCCTGGATTAACTAGACAATCGTGAGGCAAGTGATTTTAAAACAAACAAAAAAATTGTAAAATAGGCACTGGTATAATTTAGCAGATAATCAGAGCTGCAGCTGAAAACTACCTTTATCTGGAAATAATTAGTGTGCCATAGCTACTCAGAGGAGCCACATTTATTGCTAATAGCTGATGCTCAGGTGGTGCTGATCATTCTATCACCAAAACTAATTAAAGGTCTTAAAAAGGAGGAGGGAAACCACACAGGGAGAGAGAGAGAGATGGCTGAACAGATGGGGTGGCTCAGAGGCTCCATCAAGCAGGATGCCTTCATTGCAAAGTGAACAATTAGCCTGGAAATTCAAACACACACACAAGGCCTGCAGGCCCCAGCACTAGTGCTGAGAAAATAAGGGGTCAAGCAGAAGAGCTAACAGTTATTGAGCACTTACTCTATGCCAGGCACATTACCTGATAGAAGCCTCACGATCACCTCTGTTTGCAGAAGCAGGATTTGAAGGTTAAGGAAGCTTTGTAGTCTGCCAAGCTCACACAGCTTGTAAAGTCATGCAAGTGAGCTCTACACCCAGTCATTCTGACTCTACAGCCCATGACCTTACCCACAACATACTGTCTCATGCATCCAAAATCAAGCTGTGGTGACTGCTATGGTTTAATATCTTCTCCAAAAGTCATGTTAAAATGTAATGGCCATTGTGACAGTATTAAGAAGTGGGACCTTTATGAGGTGATCCTGGTCATGAGAGCTCTGTCCTCATACATGGATTAATATCATTATCATGGGAGTAGGCTAGTTATGTTGGATGTGGGTGACTGATAAAAGGGTAAAGTTTGGCCCTTACTTCATCCCTCCTGTCTCTGCCCCTCACTCCCTCTTGTGTGCATACTCTTTCTCACCATGTGATGCCTTCAGCCATGTGTGACACAGCAAGAAGTCCCTCACCAGATGCAGCCCCTTGGTCTTGGACTTCCCAGCCTTCAGAACTGTGGGCCAAATAAAATTTTCTTTATACATTACCCAGTCTGTGGTATTCTGCTATAGTAGCAGAATATAGACTAAGACAATAATCCTTGTGCCATTTCTGATGACCAGTTTCACAGGTACAGGTCTTGACTTACATTGAGAAATTTTCTAGTTGTAGTGCTCTCTCTCCACTCCTATTCAGAATTTACTTGTTTTCAGATCTCTGAGCTGAAATGATGTGAAAACTAAATTTGAAAAATACATAGTTGGATTAATATATCAGTATGTTATTCCCTGATCTTAGCAACTTATTTACAGCTATCAGAAATATAATATGATGATAGAAAGACATATTGTGTCTAATTTCATCCACTGAGGCCAAACCCTGGAAGAAAAGTTTTGCGGCCAGCACTTGTTTTTCTCCAGTCATTTATCCACATCACATGAAGAGCTGCCTGCTTTGTCTATGTGTAGGCTTGCTGGTAATTTTACTTCAGGTTTCAAGAAACAGAGACCCATTCAAGCTGTCTTAAGTAACAGGGGTTTGTTGTAAGGGTGAATGTGGAAAAATACAGGATTCTCAACTACTGGATCACATTACAGAGAAAAAGAGGAACCACAACAAAGCCAGGCCTGCCAGACACTGTGATTAGTTCAGAAACTGGCAAATCAGTGACTGAGTTATCCATCAGCCTCTCAGCAATATGACCTGTTGATTCCTGTTTCAGAAGCTGGCTACTACTGCATTTATTTTCACTGTCATTCTTTACCATATTCTGTCTGCTCATTCAAATATTCTGCTCACTTGTGCTAATTGTAGAAACATATGGAAAATATAGAAGGCAAAACCACCATTCAGGTGGTTCTTCAGTATTTTTTTCTACACATGCACTATATTTTTAAAAATAAAAAGATCTACTTAGCAAATGGTGCTGGAACTAATTGAGTATCCACACAAAAAGACAGAAAAAGGCCAGGCGCAGTGGCTCGTGCCCATAATCCCAGCAGTTTGGGAGGCCAAGCTGGGTGGATCACTTGAGGCCAGGAGTTCAAGACCAGCCTGACCAACATGGTGAAACCCCGTTTCTACTAAAAATACAAAAAATTAGCCAGGCATGGTGGTGCATACCTATAATCCCAGCTACTCAGGAGGCTGAGACATGAGAATCACTGGAGCCTGGGAGGCGGAGGTTGCAGTGAGCTGAGATCACTCCCCTGCACTCCAGCCTGGGTGACAGAGTGAGACTCTATCTCAAAAAAAAAAAAAAAGAAAAGAAAAGAAAAAAACAAACTTCAGCATTGTATCAGATCATATACAAAAATTTACTTTAAACGTATCATAAACATAAATCTAAAAGCAACAGATATAACATTTTTATTTTAAAAAAATAGAAAAGTATTATGACATTGGGGTAGGCAAAGATTTCTTAGATCACAAAAAGCATAAGCCATATTCATTGACGGTGACAAGTGTATCATACTAATGTTAATAATAGGAAAAGGTGAGTGTGGAGTATATGAGAACCTTCTGTGCTATTTTTGCAAGTTTTCTATAAATCTAAAACTAAACTAAAAACTTCATATTAAAAAAGCATCAACAATTAAATTAAAAATGAATAAATTGATAAAAGCATTTGCTCTTTGAAAGACACTATCATAAAAATGAAAAGACAAATTATAACCTGGGAAGAAATATTTGCTGATCACATATCTGACAAAGGAATTGTATGCAACATATATAAAGAACTCTCAAAAATCAGTATTAAGAAAATAACCCCAATTTTTAAAAATTTGAATAGAAATTTCACTAGAGAAGATATATGGATACCTTATAAGCACATGACAAGATGACTGATGCTACTCATTAGGGATAGGATATACCATCACATACCCATAAGCATGGCTCAACTGTAAAAACAGTACTGTAAGCTGAGAGAATGCAAAGCAACTGGAACTCTCATGCGTTGCTGGTAGGATTGCAAAGTGGTACAGACCCTTTCAAAAAGAGTTTGGCTGTTTCTTAAGTATACACCTAACATGCAAACAAATAATTCCTGTCTTAAGGTGTTCACTTAAGAGAATTGAAGCATATGGCTATACACAAATATTCATAATCATCAGAAACTGGAAACAATCCAAATGGCTAGAGCTGGTAAATGAATAGATTGTGATATATCCACACAATGTAATGCTTTTCAGCAAGAAAAGGAATGCGGTATTGATACACACAACATTAAAAAAAAAAAAAAACAAAAAAACAAAACCTCGAAAGTGAAAAAGTGAGATGTAAAAAGCATATATAGTATATTATTTTATTTATCTGATATTCTGGAAAATGAAAAACTATACTTTTCTAGTGCTGTGGTCTAAATGTTTGTGACTCCCCCAAATGCATATATTGAAACCTAATCTCCAATGTGATATTAGGTGAGGCTTTTGGGAGATGATTAGCTCATGAGGGCTCCATCCTCATGAATGGAATTTGTGCCCTTATATAAGAAACCCCAGAGAACTAGTTAGTCCCTTTTACCATGTAAGGACACAGAGAGAAGGCACTGTCTATGAGGAAAGGAGCTCTCACCAGACACCAAATCTGCCAGTGCCTTGATCTTGGACTTCCCAACTTCCAGAACTGTGAGAAATAAATTTCTATTACTTGTGAGTTACTCAGTTTAGGGAATTTTGCTATAGCAGCCCAAACGAACTAAGACAACCAGAGACTGGGAGTAAAGGGAAGATATTGACTACAGAGGTGCATGAGGAAACTTTCTGGGGTGGTGGAAAGAGTCTATGTCTTGATCATGGTTGTGGTTACACCACTGCATACATTTGTCAAAACTAATCAAAGTGTAGACCTTAAAAGTGAGAATCTTACCATATGTAAATTGTACCTCGATAAACTTGAGTTTAAAAAATAAAACTGAGATAATATCGTCTATATTATTTTATATACTGCCTCTCTTTCTCACTTAACATCAGAGCACTAAATATGCCATGAAAACATGACTTTAATGACTACCTCAAATTTTACTGTGTGAGTATATGGTAACTCATTTAATTATTGTTCTATTGTTGAACATTGTTTAGTTCCAATTTTTTAAACATGTATTCTCACATCAACATCTTTGTGTAGCAATTCAGTCTTTCGTTTCATTATTGCACTGGAACAAATTCTAGACATGAGCCAAGGGTATGAGTGCTAGTTTAAGGTTTTGAAAATTTACTGTCAATTTTCTTCCCAGACAAGCTTACATACCTATTATCAGAAGAGTGAGTCTATAATAAAAATCTTAAATATATCTTTTTTAAAGAACATAAAGCAATAACACAAATAGACGTTTATTCAAATTACTCTGGGTTTGTAAGAAAATGAATAAATCTACAGAAAAGACAGTCTTCTGTGAAATTTCCAGAGATCCTCTACAATCAGTTTTTGAATAACATTTTCCACTTAGAAGAGAGGTCATTTATAATATATTGTTTTGTATAATGAAGAACAATTAGCAAAATAATTCATCAAAATCCTATTTATACTTGTACTTTCAAGAGCAACCATTTATTTCAACTAAGATGTCTCCCTTCTTTTAACCCTTTTAACCATTAGTGCCCACAACAAGTAAGATTGTTAGAATTTTCATAGGAATATTTCAGTGTTACAAGTCCCGTATTTCACAATAAAATCCTAAGCTCACAATATTTTTTCATGTGCTGATGCCATATTCAAGGCACAATTTATGCTAATAGGTGACCCTTCCTTATAATAGAAAAAAACAACCTTATTGAGTTTCTAACAATGTCCCTATTCACACATTAGCTCTGCTGCAGCTAAGATAAACACATTGCTTACCTAACATTTTAACTATAAAGTACCAAAATAGAACAATAACTAACTGTTGACAAAGTTGAATTCAGTTTCAAAATGTCTTCATGGTGAGTAAATAAAATTTCTGAACCTGGGTCATGTGATCCTGGAGTTCTGATCATCATCTTCCATTGCCGACTTTAAAGATAAATAATGTTTGTCTGAATAGCTCCATCTGAAACCCTCTTTTCTGAATTATTTATACAGGCATGAATTTTGATAGTATTGTTTCATGTAGAACTTTAACCACATCATGAAACTTCAGAATAGAAGGAACCCTGATTTGCCCAAACCCTCACAGCAGGTTAGCAGCCATACAGACTTCGAACTCAGGTTCCAAGCCTTGGGCTCTTCAGGCTCACCCCCCTCTACCTCTCTCTCTGTTCTACCTTGGCTGAGGTAACACATTTGACTGTACATGTCAGGTTTCTCCCACCAGAATGCTCAGTCTGTTAAGTGAATTAGAATCACACCAATGAAAGTTCTATTCCCAACCATCCTTAATATTCCATTACATCTTCCAGAGAGACCAAAGCCAACTTCTAAAATCAAAGAAACATATTTCAGATTTTTTAACAATGTACACTACTAGCACATCAATGTCTACATCTAATTTTATTATCTGTTATTTTTAGGACTTTTTTTTAAAAGGAAAATGCCACATTTTGAATAGACAATCAGAATAAATAAGAGATCCCTCCACTGTGATCTTCCTCTCTCTCTCTTTCCCTCTCTATCACACACACACACATACACACACACACTCACACACACACTCACAGAGTTTCCCACAGACTATTGGTAGATACACTACCAAGGAACCTACCCAAGCAATGCCAAGGCAACAAATC